CCGGCCCGGTGGCGCACTGGATAGTGTGCCGCTTGGGAAGCGCGGCGGCACTCCCACCCGAAGGTTCGGATCCCACATACGGACCAGTTCCCCGCTGCTCACTGGCTGAGCGAGGCGTGGGAGCAACACCGAGGGTTGCGATCCCGTTGCTGGTCCCCGGTCCGGTACGGGGGCAACACTGAAGGTTGCGATCCGTTGCCGGACATGGAAAAAGACAAAAAAAAAAAAAAAAAAAAAAAAGAATAGAGAGTTTGGGAGTTAATGGCTTCAAGTATGATTTCAGATTATAAGTAAGAAAAAAGTAATATACTTCAGAATAATGAGAAAAATAAGATTAAATATACTTTTAGGATACATAAAAGTGAGGATATGCAGAGGACTAAATAACTTCAATTTTAAAACTAAGCACAATGCCTGGCACTAATAGTTGTTCAATAAATGTGATTTGATTGAATGAAAAAAAGAGACAGTCATTATGCCTAGGTAAAATATCTAAAGAAGATGATTTATTTATAGGAGAATTTAGCAGAATAACTGAAAGTAATAGAAACATTTCCTAGTTGAAAGACAGACTGACCCCTTTGTCATAATATTGTAAGATTAAGTCCAGGAGTAGAATTCCACTAGTTAGTCACTCTAGAAAGAATGACCAATGAGCTATTTCTAGATGTTAGCCAACTGAAAGGGCAATATTTGACTGTCAGGGAGATTTAGAGTTTCACTTATTTGTAAGATGAAAGACTGACTCATCCCAGTTAGCATCCCAGAATCCTGTCACCCAGATAGTTCACTCTGTGGACATTTAACACCAGTACCCCTCACGCTTCATCACTGTATTTCACTTCCTATCCGGCCGAGCAGGCACAAAATGAGACCACTCAAATGCTAAATGCAGTGAATCTGCCACATCAGAGAGAGTGCATTCCCAATGCTGAGACTCATTTATTTTCAGTAAGTCTACAGTGGAAATGCAGAGAAAAAATAAGCATGAGCAGTACAGTGTGGTGCAGGCAGACAACTGACACAAGAGATAGGTGTAGAACACAAGAGAACAGAAAAAAAAAGTATACAATTTGCTACACGGGCTCTTCTCTGGAATAAATACACTCTCAAAACAAAGAAAAGCCTGCTAAGGAAAGTCAGAGGTGGTGAGCTGGTGTCTGGACCAAAGGGCAACTTTTCCTAATGGATGTAGAAACCAGTAGGACAAGGGACGTTCCCAAAAGCTGCGAAAAACAGAAAAGCAAAGTAAACCAGAAGCACAAAGTCACAGTGGGGAAGAAAAGAAGCGAAGGCCCATCTCAGATGAAAATAAAATCCACTTCTTTTAGAAGTACACTAAAAGTCCTCTATCTTGTAGAAAATAACTCATTTCTGAAGAAATATTTATGGGAAGAGCAGTAATTCCATTGGTTCCACTTCAGTTTCTTTTTCTTCTGTTTAGTTCA